TGGCTGGACTCGGACTTGCAGTTTGCACACTGTGGCGAACAATGACACAGGGGTTACCCTGCTCACTCCTACTGTGGGAGTCCCTGGTTAACACTCCGAACTCAGGGCTACGCTGGGCAGCTCACTATAGGCAGATGAACCTCCAGTCCTGTCTGGGCTCTCATCATTTTGTGCCCTAATGTGTCAACTCATTTCACCCACCTGAGCCTCAGTTTACTGCACTAGGTTCCTATGCATTCGGCACCTGAGTGGTTCATGTGTGCACTAGTAAAGATGTGCTGACGGAGGGGTGCATTGTTCCCAGTAGACTGTTAGCACATGAAAAGGATGTTTTTAAAACCTCACTCAATAGTATTTAGCAGACGGGAGGGGAAAGAGTAATTAAGTGCCATTTGTCACCCAGCCCAGCTCAATAAACATTTTTTGTTGTTGTTATGCTTAAGAGAAAAAGAAAATGTAATTAAGTTTAAAGAACTAAATTGGGGCGCCTGGGTGGCTTAGTCGGTTAAGCGTCCGACTTTCGCTTAGGTCATGATCTCGCGGTTCATGGGTTCGAGCCCCGCGTCGGGCTCTGTGCTGACTGCCAGCTCAGAGCCTGGAGCCTGTTTCAGTCTGTGACTCCCTCTCTCTCTGACCCTCCCCTCCTCACGCTGTGTCTCTCTCTCTCTCCTAGAAATAAATAAAAACATTTAAAAAAATAATAATAAAGAACTAAAGCTGTGGCCTTAGGGAAGGACTTTGGATGTCAGTCATACCCTAAAAATCTGTAGAAACCTTTCTGGAACCACACTTTTAAGTTACATGCACGAAATCTTCCCAGCTCCAAGTTTCAAAAACCAACAACGGAAACAACAATATTTGAAAATCTCTATATAAGTTGTGTTAATTGGGGAGGGGGCTTCATATTTCCAGTAGGGCAGCTCAAAGCTCATCGTCCTCCCTTCCCTCAGCAAGTAAAATTCTTACTGAGTTTCATAATCTGTTTTAAATAGTACATCGTTGTTGCAAAGTGTTATGTTTAAACGACTGTACTCTTTGATAAATATACATAGCAGATGATCCAGGACGTAGCCCCGTGCGTATAGCTCGAACCAGTCCCGCCTTCCACGGGCAGGAACCACCGCAGGCGTTTGTGGCAAAGAGCAGTACCCAAAGTGCCAGCTCAGCTCTGCGCCTGGGGGCTCAGCTCTGCGCCTGGGGGCTCAGCCAGCCGCAGAGGTGAGGGGGTTGTTGATGGAGGGCTGGACTTGCAGAGGGAGCTGGCTAGTCAGCTGCTTCCTGTGATTTGCCTGGGAGATGGAGGGAGGGGCTGGGCTAAATTTTTCTTTCCTGTGAGTAATATGTGTTTTCGGTAGAAAAAAAAAAAACCCAGGAAGTAGAGATAGCCGAAGAGATATGCAAATAACAGCCACCATCCTGCTCCATCCCACATGCACGATTCCTGAACACGTCAGCAGCACATATGAAAGGGGGTGGTAGTCTCAAGCCCAGCCGGCGGTGGGGGGGGGCTTTCCACCGCCTTTGAAGTCCCAGAATGTGTTCGTGAAAGGCGAGCAAATCCTAAAACAGGCCCTACAAAAATTAGAGTATATGCTGACATATACTGTGTGTAAGGCTGAGCGCTTACAGACACACTACGTCACAGTGGACTGCGTCAGGACATAGCATCTCAAGTTCAATTTTGAGATCTGGCCCGATTGTGCTGTTTTTCCCACACCCCCCTTTGCCATGGTAGCTCCGTTGTCAGAGGTGTCAGAATCCGGAGTTTTCATGAGCCGTGTAATGTGACATTTCTCTCTGTCAACAAATACAATTCTCTGTCGCTTTAATTGCTGCCCACGAGCCCATTGTCTGTAGAAACCATAGTAAAGTCCTGTTGTTGGACATTTATTTCTTCCTTCCTGACTTCGGTAGCACAACACAGTGTGGATATTCTTGCACTTACTTCGTGGGATATTTTATTCCTTCTCTGCTTAGGATGACATGGAACGGCGCGATCGATGGGGCGTGGTGCGCTCACAGTTTTAAGTCAGAAAACAGGCACTCTTGTTTGAAAAATCGTAGCCAGCCCTCCAGTGACAGGGCGGAGGTCAGCTTTACCCCAGACCTCGCTGCTTCTGGGATTCATTGGCGGGAAGTTCCGAGTACCACAGAGAGCCACGCGACGGAGGTCCGAGCCAAGGACCGTGTGGTTAGGCGTGGGCTTTGCCGTGGCTGCTCGGGCCTGGAGGAGCGGAGGGAGGGGCTGTGACAGACACAGACAACAAGCCAGACGGAGCGCCAAGGGCCTCGGTGGACGTGGCCGGCCCGCCAGCACAGAAGACGGATGCCAGAGGATGAGTTGAAGTTGGCGTGCCAGGCTGGGGCGGGGCACTTGCAGAGAGCTGCCCTGAGCGCCCCCTGATCCTCAGCGCCGCCAGGGCCCCTGCCAGTGTCCCCCAGCTTGCGTGTGCTTCGGCCCCATGGCCCGCCCGCCCTCAGAAAGCCTCAGGCCACTTTGTGATGAGTTGTGGCAAAACCTGTGTCTTCCCGTGGAACCAAATGGTGAGGACTCCAGAGAAGCAAACAGACGAATGTGCAGCTCTGTCACCATGTCCCTTGTGGAAGAAGCCCACCTTCCGGGCCGGCTGGCCAGCCAGCTCCTTGCTCCTGGCCCTGCGCACTGGAAACCCAAGTCTAAGGAGTCCGTTCCCCCAGCCCCCACTTTTTTTAGAGCAAACTTGTCCCTCTCTCAGCTTTTGCCCTGCATTCTCTGTTCACCTCCTCGCCTGACATTTAACTTGGCCCCACAAGTCTGTTCCTTACAACCCTCTGCCGAGCACTGTGACCCAGCGTGCCAGGAACAAGCAAAGCTCACCAAAGCCTGCGCTTCTCACTGCCTGTCCCTGTCGTTCATCCTTCCCCTCGGGATTGCTCTCCTCTACCCGCCCCTAGCTGCGGAAACCCTGCTTATCTTTCTAGACGCAGCTCAAGTCCTGTCTTCTTTAAGAAGTCTTAGCAGCCTTCTCACCTTCTAAAACCCCATAGAATGTGGCCACGGTACACATCATATCCCACGGTGTAGGGTATGGATGGTCCCTCACTTAGGTTGGTTCAGTTTAGGATTTTCCAACTTGATGATGGCGTGAGAGCGAGGTGCCTTCAGTGGAAATCACACTTCGAATTTCGAATTTGGATCTTTTCCTAGGCCGGTGGTATGTTGGTACAAATCTCTCTCGCAACGCTGGGTGGTGGCCGCTCCCCAGTCAGCCACACGGCCACAAGGGCAGATAACCAACACACAGACAGCCATTCTCCACCGAGACAACTATTTGTCACTTTCAGTACAGTATTCAGTACATCGCACGAGATGGTCAACACTTTATTGCATGTTTAGTCTTGTTTTTTGTTACTTTTTTTTGATGTATATTGACACACAATGTTAGATTAGTTTCAGGGGTGTAACAGCGATGCGACAGATCTGTTTGTGGTATAGCTACCACGTGTCACCATACAACACTTACTATACCACTGACTATCTTCCCTATGTGGTACCTTTCATCCCCATGACTTACTCATTCCATGTTGGAAGCCTGTATCTCCCAGTCCTCTTCACCTGTTTTACCCACCCTCTCCCCCTCTCCTCTAGCGACCACCAATTTGTTCTCTGTATTTATGGGTCTTTGCATGCTTTTTTGGTTTGTTAATAAGTTTAATTTTTTAGATTCCATCCACCTGTAAGTGAAAATATGGTATTTGTCTTTGTCTGTCTGGCTTCTTTCACTCAGCAATATACCCTCTCGGTCCATCCATGTTGTCCCAGATAGCAAGATCTCATTCTTATTTATGGCTAATACTCCATTGTGTGTGAGTGTGTGTGTATACATACGTACACACACCCCACGTCTTCTTTATCCATTCATCTGTGGATGGACGCTTGGATTGCTTCCGTATCTTGACTATTGATTGTAAATAATGCTACAGTAAACATAAGGGCACATAGATCTTTAAAATTGTGACTTTTTTCTTTGGATAAATACCCAGCAGTGGAATTCTTGGATTGAGTGGTATTCCTATTTTTAATTTTTTGAGGAGCCTCCATACAGTCTTCCACATTAATATTTTATTATAAAATAGGCTTGGGGTGCCTGGGTGGCTCTGTTGGTTGGGCTCCCAAGTCTTGATTTAGGCTCGGATCATGGTCTCATGGTTTGTGAGATAAATAAAATAAAATAGGCTTTGTGTTCGATGTTTTTGCCCAACTGACTATGGTGTTCTGTAAGTTAGGTGTATTAACTGCATTTTTGACTTACGACGTTTTCAATTTATGATGTGTTTATCAGGATATGACCTCATTGAAAATCAAGGAAAATCTGCAGATTATACCATACGTGTGTGTGTGTGTGTGTGTGTGTGTGTGTGTGTGTGTGTGTGTGTGTACTTAATGATTTTAAGTTCCTTGGAGACAAGGACTATAACCATTCATTTTCCTCTTCTGGGTGTTGAGAATCACTATGCCTTGTGCCAAGGTACTGATTCCGTAAATGAATGAGCAGCGAAGGAACCTGGACTGAGGCATAAGGGAAGTGAGTGTAAGGAGCCTCCCAGAGAAAAGCTCATCTGATAGGAGTCTGGCTCCAACATTTCTCTATAGGAGGGATTTGGGGACAGCATCGTGATCAGAAAGAGGCTTAAAAGCACTTTGTAAAGAGGGAGACAACACTTGTGAAAATAAAAGGAGACCAGAGCTGATGGAGATCACCAGGGAGCCACTTACCACGTCACGTCTCCTTAACATTCTTCCGAGGTGTACGTTTTCACTGCGATTGAATTTAATGCTTTCTGTTGTTTTTGTGTCATGGGATGTTTCCCATTGATTAAATTACATCGTTGTTTTGATTTTTTTTTTTTTTTTGTAAGAACAAATACTAACACACTTGTCCCTTCTGGGTCTTGCAGGCAACCATGGTCCTGAGCTCCGCACACTTCTGGTTGGGATTATTTCTGGTTCCCACGGCGTGTTTGATCGAGGATGTGGCATGGAGAGCGTAAGTGAAAAATGAAGTGCCCGCCCTAAGTCTCGCTCAGCTGTTTCTTGCGATCACCTTTCATGGTCGCTGCCGTAGGGTACTGTGTGCTGTGGGACTTCTCGAGAATCAGGTCCCCTGCTACCTGCCAGCAACAGATGTAAAGGATGTTAGGGGTTTGGGTTTCTGATTTGTGTTTTCCTTTAACCTGTGCTTCACCTCGATGTGAGAATATAGACAGAAAGGAGTCCTGAGGCAGGCTGGGTGACAGTCAGTAGGGACGGTACTTGTACATGATTCTTAAAGGACAGTTTCTAAGTACAGAGTCATTCCATCAGATTGAGGAATGATAGCTCAAAATTCACTTCTCCTTATAACAAAAATCAGTGCTACATGATCGCTAACACAGCCTGGCTTTAAATCCCCTGCTTAACCAAAAACTGTGTATGTAGGTCATTTCAAATTAGAACATACAATGAAGGATTCTTCATTTTTCCAATAATTCACAGTAGGAATCCTTCAGGCATAATTTATTTAGAGTGTCCCTGTACAAACCTGTGAGAACATCAATCACAAAGGTGAAATTATAATGTGGGTTATATAGGAAATAAATCATGCCCAATTTTTGCTTATATTTCAAAATATATTGTTTCTGAAATATCTTGTGTACAAGCAACTAAGTAGCAAGAGAATGCAAATCTTAATTTTATCCATGAGAAGGGGATGGAACACTCCAAACGAGGTAGTACTGAATTTTGTTTGGGGTAGGCCTGATTCCTCCTACAGACAGCTGCCGACTTCCCTGAAAATTGAGCCTTCTGGATTGGTTTTCCTTTGGGTGAAGCATAATTATTTTGGGGGCCCTGAGGTAGAGAATTGAGACTTTAATCCAAACCTTCCCGGGAATGACATCAGATTTCATTTTGATCTCCCCCTCCCTCCCACACTCAGTGAGACTTGTTCGTGCCTGACAGTTAAGGTTATCTTTTGAAAAAGTCTTCATTTTAGCATTATCTTGACAATGATTCTACCTAATGCAGAGAGAGAGAAAGAGCAAGAGAGAGAATTGTATAGCACATATTTGGGGTGTTTTTTTTTTCTCTTCACTAAGTTCTGCAACTGGTAGTAAAAAATAATTTTAATTTATTAAATGGCTTGATTTGCCACTACTTCCCTTCTATCTACTAAAACCATGTTTCGTAAGTAGCTGAACTAGAATCTTTGGAAATGAAATCATTATAGCCAGTAAAGATGTTTTCTTAATCTAATAAATGCACCGAGAGGAAATTTTCTATTATTTGTTCTTACAGCGCATAGCCCAGTTGCAGTGCACCATATTACCTTGCTAAATTTCTTCCACCTTACATGACAGTCTGTGGTAGTTTTAGGTAAATACAACACGACATTGGTTACATCAGATCCCTTTACAGTCTGTACTGTTTGAGACTAGTGATGCAATTACAAATTAATCTCAGCCTGTTTTAGTTCAACTATCCAGATCAGTGCCATGAAAAAACTTTTTTTTGAGACTTTATTTGCCAAGCGAGACTTTAGCGGAAGTCCCTTTCTCCCATTCCGAAGAGTGTTGGCAGATTACGGTGTTCTCTGCCTCCTTGTCTTGGCCAATCCATCCCACGTATAAGTCGCCGGCCACCAGTGAGGCAAATTATTCCTTCCAGCAGGACTTGCTTTTGGTCTCCCCTGGCTCTGTAAAATTAGCACCATCTTCATTTTAGCAAGAATAAGTCAAAGGATAAATCAAAGGACAGTGCCTTCAGCTCCACCAAATGGAAAGAGTAAAAGTTGCTCATTTCCAAGAAGCTTGCCAACCAGCAAGGAGCAGGGACCGTGTTCTGTGAAGATGATGCTGGGCAGGGGGGGGGGGGGCGCAGCAGAGGCAGGCAGACCCCAGGCATTGTCCCACCTGCTGCCTCCTGCCCGCGAGGGGCCCAGAAAACAGCCCTGCCCAGGAGCAGATGGCACCTCAACTTTGGGTTGAGCCGGAAGGGCCGCTACAGAAGTCCGGAGGCACTTACGGAAACGTACTTGTATCTCGTTTTACTTGGAGAAACCGAGGAGGGTGGTGTATATTGACTCTCACCCGCAGTGTTTGCCCAAAGAAGGTGCTCGATTTGTGGTACACATTTCACGTCTAAAGTACAGTCACCTCTGTCCTCAAAAACAAGAATTCCACGGGTTTATTTGGGAATTCTCCCTGTGATCATGGGGCCCCGTGTTTTATCTTCCGTTCTGCTCCCAGCCTGACATCAGTGTCGTCGAGTCCAGTAAATTCAGAGGCTCCTCTGGGAAGAGAAGGCGGACTATGAGTTGCTCCTCTCCCTTGAGGCCACAATAACTGTGATTTCCCTCTCTGAGCGTCAGAACGTGTTCTGTTTTCCCTTCCTGCACACTGATCGAAACCACAAATCCTGACTGTCCACACCTCCCTGCGCTTGGTCCCTGTGGCCCACTGTTGATGAAACATGGCGAGCTGTGGCCGGCCTCGGACTTCCAAGGACGGTTTTGAATGGAGTGAATCGGAATGACGGACGCCTGTGCCGTGACGGTGGCTCAGGGCAGTGTTGGGAGGCTGTCACGGTGCAGTTGCAGTCTCTCATCTTGCCTGGGACCAGTCTTCCGGACTTTTGGTTTTGTTTTTAATTTTGGTGGTTAACTGTTTTTGAAAGAGCTTTTAAGTCCCGGCAGAAAGCAGGCCCGCCTTTCCACATGTATTTCTATGAGCGAAAGTGAGCTCCTCTCTCTCCATGTTCCCCCCTTACTCTGCCTAGTCCCCCTCTCCCATTTCAGGACCTAGACTGTTTTAGAGGCGGGGGTAAAAAAAAAAAAAACCAGCATGAGGTAATTCAGTCATTTTTTCCATGAAGTCTGTCAGCTTTCTGGTTGAAGATCCGTTAGACTATCTTAAGTCAGATTTGGATGCCAGTAAGTACCTACTGTGTTATCCTGTTAACCGTGATTTTCAAAAGGGACCAGACTAACACATCTACAAAAATGACTGATTGATTATATGTGATACCTGGCTAATGAGTATTTTTATTAGGAGCATGAAGTTTACATAGCCCAGAACTATTTTAATACACTTTAGCTTACTTCCAAAATGTTTACCCATGACCGCATTCTTAGGTCAGCTGCCATGTCCTCATTCTCATTTAGGAGAAGCTCGTTAGTTGCTCTGCAGAAATAATATGAAGTTCAAGGCAACCAAACACAGGAGGCAGCCTCCTTTTATCTAACCATATCTCTTCCATGTTACCAGTCAGCACACAATACGTTCAGCAGTTCCAGAATGACTTCATTTCCTTGTTATAATCCTGGATAGGCGGTGAAAGGGAAATAAAAAGTCATAAGAAATATCTGTATACAAATGAGTCTTGATTTAAAAAAAAAAAAACTAAGTTTTTGTGAACCACACAGTTTCATCCGCATTTAATGGAATTAAACATCTTCTTGGCTTGCTACTTTTCCATGCAGAAGAAGGAGTCAAGAGAAAAAGTTTCAGAAAGAGGAAAATGAAAAGTTCGAGATTCTATGCTGATCTGTTTCTGTTCAAAACCCCTAACAACCGGGAGATACCCATTGCTGTATCTCAGGGCCCCCAGACGACTCTCACACCCTGACAGTGGCTAAGCACGCCCACGGTACCCCCTGTGTGATCATCTGGGCTCTTGATGGGGGGTTGGATGGAACCCCAGACGGAGAGGGTGAGCCATTCAGGGATAATGTCGCAGCTGTGACTTAGAGCAAGCCAAGCCCCGGCTCCTGGTAAGACTGAAATTGCATGCCGGTGGCTAATGCTTAAAGACTGGCTTTTCACATGTGAACTTTGACGGGGGGAGAGTCATTTACCTAATGAAGAATTTATTAATTAGGTAACGGCCCTTGAAAATGCAGTTTTGCCTTGGCCAGCATCGCTTCTACCCCAGCACCACACACAGAAGGACTCGCGGAATCAACTCCACCGTTGCCATCCGGTGTTCCCAAATAGCGGTCCAGTCCTGTGAGCTAGCCTCGTGGAAATGCTAAACACCTGCTGAGTAATTCTCGGACACCAATGAGTTTCATCCACTGAAAACATGCACAGTGTCTGGGGGCATTAGGGTACTCAGCTCATTTCCCACTGAAACGGTTTTGTGAATGAGCCCAAACCGGCAGCTTCAATGTAGTGGGTCAGATGCTTTCTCCCTTGGCCTACGGCATAGGTTTCCCGCCCACTGGCCCAGCCTTCCTGTTCCTAGCCTACTTCTTGGTGGCCCCCTTGTCACCCAGCCCAGCAGATGACTCCGAAGGCTGTTATAGAGGTTGATGAGCCCTGATTGCTCAGTGTCAGGAGAAAGAGGGAGGAAGGCAGGGAGGGTGATGGATTGAGGACCATCCTAACCCAAGGAGAGCACAGGCCATCCTCCAGGACCCGCAGATGTGTTCTCTTGGGACCTGTATATCTGGGGTGAATCCTAGCTGAGCGGGGCTTGGCCCTTGGTTGTCTGGTCCTCATTGGAGCCCCGTGAGCCCATGAGATAAAAGTTCAAGTTGGGGGCCCAGCGTATTCAATAATAGTGAACAGTGTAAATTTCAACATTCTTTTTTTTTTTTTTTTTTTTTTTTTTACTGTCTCCAGCAAAACGTTAAACGTTTTCTCATTTCTTGTTTAAATTAAAATTCCACAGTCTCTACTTTGAACTGCAGTACGTTATCACCACTGAGTCCCGGGACTCGGCTTGATGTAAGGAAGGTATTCTGTGTTAAAACCCGTGTGGCTAGGTTCCCTTGTTTACTTTGGGGAGAAGGAATGACAGGCACATACACAGCATCTTAGAGCTAATGCTCCGTTAGAGATTAGCTCAGAGTGTTAGGGGACGACCGGGCATTATCTTCTCGGGCTTTCTTCCCTTGAAGGTGGAGGGTGGGAGGGAGACTGTGATTTCACTGCAATAGCTCACGCCTTCAGAATGTTCCTGTTACACTGTTTTTGCTTCCTTGCAGAGATGCTCCGTGTTTGTTCTCATTCTGTCTTTGAGTCCCGGCCCTTAGTGGGATCCTCACATCTCTTTACACTGAAACTAATGCAAAGCTTTCCATAAAAAGAAGCCTGCACAGTATTGCTAAGCACTGAGCAATTTTTCTGTTTAGTTTTTTTTTTTTCCTCCGTTTCATACCTGTGTCCAGTCACATGCCTGGTCCTTCAACGGTATCGTTTCCAACAGTAGCTCTGTGTTTAGTCTCAATTTCAGGAAGATCCTGAGATCAGCCACTTATTTGAATGTGGTGTAAGGTGTTCTTAGTTTAATCAGTAAAAGAGTGCAGGCCGTTCTTCCTCCAGTTCAAGGGGAGGGACCAGGCTGAGGTTTAAACTGTGGTGCGGAGACCAACTTATTTCTGTTATTCGATCTGTTGTTTTACACCATGGAGCCCACACAGATGGGCCCTAACAGTAAGTCTCTGCAAGACAAGGGTGGAAAAGCTGGGCCTGGGTGTTTGTGTTGGCCCTGAGTTTCAGGGCCAGGGTTTGGCTTGAAGAACATGAACTCCAGCATTATAAATCCCACTCCCGGGGCGCCTGGGGGGCTCAGTCGGTCAAGCGTCAGATTTCAGCTCAGGTCATGATCTCATGGTCCGGGAGTTCGATCCCCGTGTCGGGCTCTGTGCTGACAGCTCAGAGCCTAGAGCCTGCTTCGGATTCTGTGTCTCCCTCTCTTTCTCTGCCCCTCCCCTGCTCGCACTCTGTCTCTCTCTCTCTCTCTCTCTCTCTCTCTCAAAAATAAACATTAATATGGGGCGCCTGGGTGGCTTAGTCGGTTAAGCGTCCGACTTTCGCTCAGGTCATGATCTCGCGGTTCGTGGGTTCGAGCCCCGCGTCTGGCTCTGTGCTGACTGCCAGCTCAGAGCCTGGAGCCTGTTTCAGTCTGTGACTCCCTCTCTCTCTGACCCTCCCCTGCTCACGCTGTCTCTCTCTCCTAGAAATAAATAAAAAAATAAATAAAAAATAAAAAAAAAACATAAATAAATAAAGCCCATTCCTGCTGGGACAGTGGCTCTTTTGATGCTGAAAGGAGAACAAACCGCTTAGCCGGACTCTGTGACCCCCATGGGGGCCAGGGCTGAGGGACCGCATACCCCACTAGGGTAAGGATTTAAAGCGTCTTCTGGGTTCTTAGGTCCTGCGGTGAAAAACTTTAGAGATGGACGCATGAATATCCGTGAACCCCCCAGTCTTTGGTCTGAATGGCTGGGTCCTCGGCCAGATTCTCAGGCTTTCAGCAACAGGCAGTGTTCTTTGGCGGATGTGGGCTAACATCTGAGGTTCACGGTCCAAGTGTGTTCTGCGGGACTTGGGGTGCTTCCCAGCATATGAAAGTGGAGCCCCAGCCATGCACCGGGACTGTGAATGTTCCGTGATGTCCAGAGCAGCAGCCTCGGCGTCAAAGGGCATCCAGGTGTGGCCCCAAAGGGAGCAGTCTGGCCTTAACGCTGCATACAGTTCCTTTGTCATGTGCTTTTTGCTTTTCCTTCCCACACAGGGCCAAGCATACCTGCAAAAAAACGTTGCTGGAGGAGGTGCAGGAGCTGGAAACGAAGGCCAGAGTGATGGGAAAAGCGATGCTACGGGACAGTAATGGAAAGAGGTGGGTCAGCGCCGGCCGGGAACGCAGGGCCACCGGTGCCCCCCACCGGCTCCCTGCTTTTCCTTCCCATCGTTCTTTTTCTTCTTCTCAGTTTTCCATGCCATCACGGAACACTCAGTTTTTACCCCTTTGGGTTATTCTCAAAGAATATAGTCATAGGGAGATTTAAATTGCATTTTCTCAGTGGCCACATGAAATGTGGCCCGTCCCCAGGTAAAGCTGGGGTTCTTACGGGGTCCAGGCATGGGCAGAACAGCCCAGATGCAGAAAACTGAAATTGTAGCGATACCATTTTAAGGTAGAAAAGTCCTGTTTTAGTTCTATTACCAAAGCTAGGCCTTTTGATCAGGCCCAATTGTTGTACTCAACGATGAGTGTCTACCATGAAGGTCTGCGTGCCGAATAATGCACGTTATTCACATAACTCTTATTTCATAGCAAGAGTAACTGGGGCCTTTTGTTTTGCGTTTAATGAATTAGGATTTTCTACTGGTGTTGAGAAAGTGTCATGTGACATATGGGCAAGTTCACAGGAACAAATGCTGTCACTCCCTCTCTTTGTTTCTAGTAGAACCTCTTCCCCATACCTACAAGTTGGGCATGAGAAACAGCTTTTGATTAATCCTGTACGTTAAAATGTTACTAGATTGCATTTAGCTAAAGCCTGCCTACTAACAAAGGAAGTTTACCTGGACCCAAGAGCAATTAAGCATTGCCATCTTAGACAGATGGAATGTCTGGAAAACTAGGAGTACCACTCTCCTCTAAGTGCATTGAAGGAAATCTGTCGCTAACTGCCAGGGAAATAGAAATCTACAAGCTGAAGACTTCTAGGGATTCCTACTACATGTCTTAATGTTTCAGTTCCGTTTGCTTGTACCATATTCCAAAGCAATGAAGAGAAAGCATTTTCTTTTAAGGACAGAATCCAGAGTTGGAGATCTGTTAGGAATAGAATGTCACATAACTGCAGATATGTCAGGGAAGGGGCTGTAGAGTATGTCGTTGAAGTTGTGGTTTCTGTGTTTGTTTTTGACACTTTTTTAACAAGTGAGTCCATTAGCCTTCATTTTAGTCACTATAAAAAATAATCTGTCAGCAAGACAAAAATCACTGTCTTCATTTAGCTTAAAGCCATGACTGGGTGGGGACAGCGACCGGGCTTGAAGCAGATCTATATATAACAGTGACACAAGGCAGCACATGGCAAAGGCCTGCCCTGCCCGTTAGATACTTTAGGCCCAGTGCTTAGCACCTACTAGATTTTCAAGGGCCTACAAAAGTCTTTGAGACCTAAAAAAAAAAAAAAAAAAAGTTCACCAGCTCTAAAAATAGGGAGAAGCCTCCGCAAATTGAAATTAATAAAGGTTTAGGGGCGCCTGGGTGGCTCAGTTGGTTAAGTGTCCGACTTTGGCTCAGGTCATCTCACGGTTTGTGGGTTCAAGCCCCACCTCGGACTCTGCTGACAGCTCAGAGCCTGGAGCCGGCTTCAGATTCTGTGTCTCCCTCCTTCTTTGCCCCTCCCCTGCTCACGCTCTGTCTCTCTCTATCTCTCAAAAATAAATAAATGTAAAAAAAAATAATAAAGGTTTAAAACTCTACAAAATGCAGACCAGCCTTAATAACTGTTAGGTATAACAAGCACGCTGAGTTTTAGCATCTTTGGAAACAAGGCACAGGGCCTCTTTGATCTTAAGAATGCTCATGTGTGTACACAGTAACTGCTAGAGAGCATAGGTTATTCCGAAGCAAAATGAGAAATTGCAAAGCAACACCTTAAAAACACCTCTCCAGCATTTGACAGGAAAACCGAGCTCTTCAACGTGGCATAAGAATGCACTTTACTGTGTTTGATCTGACGTGGGGGCCACAGCCTCGTTCTGCCCTGTGAGGCTGAAACAGGCCTGGACGTGGGGTCGGGTAGCGTGGAGGGCGTTCAGAGGAGGGGGCGGTGCCCCGGAAGGCCACCCGGCTTGAGGGGTGAGGGGCTTCCCGTTGCAGATGGGACAGGAAGCCGGGCCAGAGGGGGTGGGCAGATGAAAGTAGGGAGCTTGTGTTCCCAGTCCCCACGGAGGGAGCAGCCCGTGCAGAGGCACTAGATGTTGTGTACCCTGGTGCCTCCCACAGAGACTGGAGCCTGCGATTGGATTCTGGCTCGGCTGCCGCTTAGCCGCGTGACCTTGGACAGGATACCTGACGTCGTGGATGGGCTCTCCGTCTGTGACAGAAGGCTACCATTTGGGGGGAAGGCAGTTGGGACTGAAAGGAGCAATACGTAGCTACACGGCATATTGGCTGACCCGTGGCAGGAGGCCAGCGTCCGCTCCTTTTCAGCATGGCCAGAGAGCCGTGATGTTGCAGGGGCGGGGTGGGGGGGTGCGGGCTGTGAGCCCGTCCCCTCCTTGCCGCTGATGAAAAGAATGTAACTTTTAAAATTCACGTGCCCCGTGCAAAATTCACTTCTCAAGGCCCAGATGAGTGTCAGAAGGTAATTAGAGTTTCAGTGGGGTTTCCTACCTTCTGCACCATAGAATCTGTTTTCTGATCACTTTGTCACGGGGACAACTGTGTAGCTGCAGCGACCGCGCACAAACGTGAGTGTGTGAGTGAGCGTGCACCCCCGCTCCGTGGCTCTGGTTTCCTTGCGCTCTCCTCGCAGCGCCTTGCCTCACTCTTGTCTTCGTAGCAGAAGGTCCTTTGGGGATGCCCCTCCTCCCATCATCCTCAGACACCCCCCCTGCCCCGACCACCACCATTTGTTTTTCTCCCTCCTAATTGCTCCCAGATTTGCTGGGTGGTCCGTTTGCAAACTAGATAGCGGGCTGCTCTGATTGTGTCCCGCCCGGTCTCCCAGCTGTTGGTTTATCGCCTTTGTTTGCTTCTTTCACACCTGCCTGGATTCCCGTGCACCTCTGGCACTGGGGAGGGAGGGGGAGGGGGGTGGTTCAGCCCAGGAAGGGGTGGGGGTGGAGGTCTCCTCAGCCCCGTCCTTCCGCGTAAAGATTTAGAGACGCCCTCTTTGAGAGATCCCCAGCACTCCTCTCGTACCTCCCCAGCTCTTACTCCCCACCCCCCATCTAATATTTCACTTGACTCGCGCATCTGTCTTTGGCTGTTAGTCCAGCGCGTAGTAGGAGCTCTGTAAATATTTGCTGACTGCCTGGACATGCGAAAGCCCGGGGAGTTGGTGGCTGGGAAAGGAGAGTGAGCCTGTGGACCTGCCGTACCTGTTGTGTTGGCTCAGTTCGAGCGTAGCCCCAGAGACGCCGAGAGATATGTAGGTGGCCACGTGGCCATTTATGTCATGGCCTAAGAATGGAGCTAACAGAGTCACAGATGGAGAGGCACGTAGGACGTCAGCCTGCACGTGCACGCATGAGGAGCCGGGAGCTGGTGCTCCCAACAGCCCCCAGCCCATCCTGCACACCAGGTGTCCTCAGCATCCGTTGAGGACGGGAGACTGACGCAGCTCAGTTCTGAAAGGCTTCCCTAGGGCCCCGTCAGGACATCCTGCCAAGTCATAAAACCCAGGTCCAAGTCGCTGGCAAATGTTCTAGCAGTTTTTCTCAGGAGTGTAACTCACACGAAACAGAACAAAACTGTTTATGCATTAATCTTGAAAAGCACTCTTGTGCCACATTTACAATTATAATTTTGAAACGGGACCTAGGGCTTCCCAGTGTCCCTCTGTGCTCCTCATCCATCCAACACAATACTTTGAACTTGCCATCTTACTGCTCTGGTCGAAGCCCCAAACTTTTACACTCTTGGTAAACGTGAAAACGTCATTAGCGCGCTTCCGCGTTAAGTAAATCTTGTCTTCCGAAATGAACCTGTGTCCTTTATGCATAATTAAACCTGTCCTCGTGACTTAGAGAAACGAGGCTGAGAAAGAGATGAGATCTGAGAATAAGATCTCCAAAAAGTGCAGGGAAGTAAGAAAATGCTTACGGTGGTGAACAGAAACGTTCGTCTTGATTGCATTTCATCTTTCCCCGATGAAACCTTTTTCTTGATGTATTGTTTGTGTGCCTCCCAAATACCAGGCACTTGTTAATATTTGGATTGTTCAGAACACCTTCCCGCAAACCAGCTTCCCCAGAAATCTTTACCTGTTCTGTGTGTAAAATAGAGTCTGTCATGCATCTAGTGGCTTTGCACACCTCTAAAATGAGCTTCCCAGAAGGGAAGAATTCTGGCTTTCAGTGTTTTGGTAGTATTTTCTCAGTCTTTATTCCTGAAGTAGAAGTCATGCAGTTTCTGTTTTTCCTCTGGTGGAAGAAAAATCTTCCAACGGCCATAAGTAAAAATGATATGAATATAAGTTTTAAAAATGCCTAAGATGTCGTGTATGGGTGACAGACTTTTTTCCCTTCCATTGTTTTTCTTTCTTGGTACAAGGTAGAGGTGTTCTGGTGCTTTGGGTATGAGAGCAGTCAAGAAGAAAGGTGAATATATTGGATGAAAATACCCAGTTTTCCAGTTATATTTAATCTGAAGAAACAACAAGGAGACCCTTTTGTTTAGACCTTCTTTCTAGTCATCACAGTTGGTGGGAGGGGGTAGGAGAGGCCCTGTGCTGATTTTCTCCAGTTTCAAGGTCAAGGAGTTCTGGTTGCTGCCCTTGGCTTCCCCCAGCAAGGCGGTGGGATTCTCTGTCACTTAAGTGCATCCCTGGAGTGTAGTTTCCTCTGTGCCCTGGTAAAGGTACCCGGTGACTGGTCTTTGCCTTATGGAGCGATCACTGAACCTCTTACTTGGTTTTGTGTCCTCATGAATGCTGATACACGGGCTCTGTGACCCCGGGGCTAAGCCGGCACACTCGGGGTAATCTAGACAGGCTGTCTGCCTCTTGGGAATTCAGGAGGGAAACGTGATTCACTCCCGTGTGTGGATGCCACAGCCCATGCTCACACAGCCTCCATTTCATCAAGGCTCCCCCTGTGCAGAAAGGTAGGGGCGCTGGTCCAAGCCAGCCATCTGGGAATCCTAATGGATTG